CAAAGTATGCAGTGAATTCACTTTACAGTGTGTTCTGTGAAGCGCTTTGAGACGTCTAGAAGACGTGATAAGGCACAAAATCAAATGCAAGGATTATTATTATTATTATTATTATTTATTCTATTTGCCTTTTCTCCAAATCTCCTAATCCTCTAAAGCTTCCAAAACATCTCCCTTACAACCATCCTAATTGAATCTGCCGCTCGCTATCCAGAGCAGCGAGTGGCATATTCGTGGAAGCTGCGGGTAACATCTTGCGTCTCTACCAGAAATTATGGGTTTAGGCTTCACCTCAGCTCCCGATCGCCAGTGTTAGGTGCTCAGTGGCAGCAGAGTAACTCAGAAAAGTGCCTCGAAGTGACTTGGACGGTCAAAAGTACGCTGAGGAATACAACGGAATAAAGGGAAAAGAAAGCAGGAATAACAGATACAGAAACCCAATCTGCCGGCAGAACATGAGAAAGTGGAAGAAGCCGGGAGCTGTCATGAGCTCAATCGTCTGGTTACACGTTTGTCTCAGGCTTCTGGTATCAGCTTTTGGAGTCCTGTAGCTCAGTGGTTAGAGCACTCGCTTTGCAAGCGAGAGACCTGCGTTCAATTCCAGGCAGAGGGCGAAACCTTGGGCAAGTTTCCTTACTCCACACAGAGCCTAATAATAATCCCTCCAAAACCCAAAAAACAATAATAAATTGGTCATTTTCAATCCCCGACTGTTTGTGGGACATTGCTGTGTGCAATTGGCTGCCGCGTTCGCCCACAAATATACAGTCAATTCACTTTACAGTGTGTTCTGTGAAGCGCTTTGGGACGTCCTCCCGACGTGAAAAGCGCTATATCAAATGCAAGGATTATTATTATTATTATGATCCGACAGACACAACGCTGGCTGTAATTGTTACCCATATTGAAGATGCACCCCAGCACTTAAACGGGCCAATCAGCCCCTCAAGCGTGTGCTGAAATCTTCTCCACCCGAAGCTCCTCGTCCTATCCCGCTCTCCTGCGCATACTCTTTAATATTCTTCCTCCCCCTCTCCCCCCCCCCCGCCCCCCCCCCCCCCCCCAACCACACAAGTCTGTGCCCTCCCATTGCTGTCTCACAGAACAGTGGATATAATTTATCACTGCTACTGCTAATAATAAGCCATCTTCTGCTATTGGGATTCGAATAATTATAATGCTGGTAAAGGCATTTACTGGCATGTTTCGCCACTGAAAAAAGAACGGTAAGTACTATTGCTGGTGTTGTACTTACACTTAGCTGGAAATGCCAACTCTCTGGACTGGATCTCACACGCGCGCACACACACGTACACACACACGCACCCCATCAATCCAGCTCGCCAGGTTTTAATGTATTATGAAGGTAAGTTAAGCCAGGATTCCCTGAAACCAGCACTGAATCTCTGGGATCTGTGCAGCGGCAGCAGAAAAAAAATAGTATAATGGTAATCTGGTCGCTCACAAAATATACAATCAATTCAGTTTACAGTGTATTCTGTGAAGCGCTTTGAGACGTCTCGAAGACGTGATAAGTCGCTATGTCAAATGCAAAGATTATTATGACAATCATTAAAAAATAGGCAGATTCTTGATAGCAATTTGAATTTGTACAGTGAGCTTCACACGTCAAGGGGGTAAACGTCAAGGAACGCTCGAGAAAGAAGAATATTAAAAGTTATGGGGAAGCGAGCGGGAGATTGAGGTTAGGGCAAAGTGGTCCGCGCAGAGAACAACAGCAGCGCAGACCTGATGGGCCAAATGGTGCGTTGCTGCGCTGTGACCTTCCATGGTTCTAAGTGCTCTATTCTCCTCGAAGCCAAAGGCCCGTGGGAGTGTGATTGCCATCTGTGGAATGCACACAGACGGGCCTGAGAACGATACGCTGGGCTCACAGATTGGTTTCCGGTATTGTTTTCCTGCAGGGCTCCATTGAGAAAATTCAGGGTTTTGTTTCTGTGTTTGCTGGGACGCTTTAAGCCCTGATGGTTCTCCCTCGGGCTCTCAGGCGAGTCGTGCGTACGTGTGTGTTATGTTTGTGCGGCTATATATATGTGCGTGTCTGTGCGTGTGAGAGTTGGGGGGTGGGGGGGGGGGGAGGAGAAGTGAATCACAAGTCTATTGCACTCGCACTCCATGGTACACTGCAGTACGGGTTTACGCTCTACGCGTAGCTTCTTGTTTTCCTCTATCGCTCTATCCTCTATCCCTCCAACTTGCCCCTTTCGTCCCCATCTTCGGATCACGTCACCTGAAGACCTTCCTTTTCGATCGTGCCTTGCGTGAGGGGCGCTATATAGTTGCACGTTGCCGATGTTGTTTTAACGCAGGGTGAGCTCATAGTAGGGACTGAACGGCGAGTGTCACAGAAGTGCTCGCGTCAAGTGAATCCGGCAGCTGTAACAACCGATCTCTGGACACTAATCGCAGTCCAATGAAGACGGCTTTGGGGAAGGTCCCAGAGCGTCAGGTAAGATACATCCAGGTCCCACCAATAACT